CATAACAAATACATTACATGAGCAGATGCTAATAAAAAAAAGGTTCGACATGAACAAGAATTTATTAACTGGATTAAAAAAATATAATGCAAGTTATAATTAACTCAAGATTTATTAATATTTATCGAAGCTGCATTGACTTCATTTGCATGAATCAGCTGAAAATATTGAACTAGTTGATCGAACGACTAAGGAACCTTGGGCTTGTTTATCTATAGTAAGCATTTTAAAAACTTGAAGTAGTACAGTTGAATCTGACAGTAAAATATTCAACTTGTCTGAAGCAACTGAATCTATCCAACTTATCTGAAACAAATACCGAATATGCTCTGAAATTGTTATTTAAAAAGATAAAATAGTGTTATCGCATATACATTATCACGTCATTTAGCAAAGATATATATATCATTACGTAATCGATCATTACCGGAATCCAGACTTATCGAATCGGCAAAATAATTATTCGGTCAATTTTTTATCAAATGTCCCAAAATTTATGAGAACAGCTGTAATCGATTAGTTGTTTTAAAAGTTTCCAAATCGATTAGTCGGAAAGTTGTCAACTAGTTGGTTTTTCAACTCACGATTTGAATCACTATCAAGGATCTGCCGGGACAATTTTTCGATAACAAAATTCTTAAAAGTTTGTTAATATTTGGGTTATCGTTTATATTAGGGTTTGCTATTAACAAGATACATAGTAAAATTACTCAAGGAAAACTTTTTGTTAGCGCACTAAAGATGGTTTATTATGCGAATTTTGAGTTATAGGTGATTTTTTGCAAAAAACACGTTTGTTTGTTTTTAATTTCCTGATCATTTTGATCTTTAACCGTGATTGGCTTTTGGTCACGTTTTGAAAAATTTGAACATGCGTTCGGATAGACGCATCAAAAAAGGAACTATTTTGATCAAAATACATCAAAAACGTAATTTTTGTATCACTATCATTATACAAATAAATAAAAAAAATTTTCGATCTTATCCTTCACTATTTTTATTTTTATTACTGTATCATTTTTTTTATTCCTTTTTTTATTCTTCTTTTAGCTATTTGATAG